GGGGGGGAGTGATGGAGCAGAGGTCATTTGATGTTGAACGGCTACCTGAGCGTGAGTGCAGTAACACTTCCACTGGCTGCGTTGTGCTGAGTAATGATTGACGGTCACGTTACTCAATCCTAAGACTCCCAGCCCCTTAACGAGAGAGATATGAGAAAGCTGTCCTCTAGCAGTCCCGAAATAAACTCCGAGTACAGTACAATGGGGAGGTAAGTCCCTTAATAAGATCATTTCTTTGTGTTGTCTGGAGCTTTTTGACTTGAAATGTATGATACACATTTGTAAAGGATAAGTCCAAAAACTGTCAAAAACACACCAATGGGCCTTGTGATGCACATGTTCACTGAAGTTTATTTTGACTCAACGCTGCATGTGCTGTCCCGGTACAGTACTCACTGAAGCACCAGATGTGTATTACTCCGCAGCTGAAAATAGTTCCCAAAGTATGCGCTTTTTACTCCCGTTTGAATGATTTTGGCTAAAAGTACCAGTGCCCAGCTGTTTAAAGGTACGACTGGTAATCTTCTTCAAAAGACGTTTTGAAAGAGGCGCCCGTCAGTGTTGCTGACTTGGCGACTTTCTTGATCGATTTTGCAACTTTTGGAGCTAGCAACATTCTTTGGAAAATAGTTTGCAACACCGAGCTGGGTTTTTAGGTTGGATCATTTATAAATCAGATTTCTATTCATCTAGTTTCTCAAGAGTAACAACCACTAGCTTTAAGTTAATTACTGAGCTTTTTAAAAAATGAAACAGTATATTTGTGAGCCATTATTACAGATTCATGTTGTCAGAGTAGAAACCAGTGGACTTGGCGCTGAGGGCCACACACAGGGTGGGGGGAGTATTAGGAGACCGACTGACACATTGTTGGTTTTTGATGGAGATTTATTGACTGTATGAAGAATATAGAATAACAGCAGCCTTGTCCTTTACATAACCAGTTACATCACTCCAAAGTGAAGGTAGATTAGTCTCCTTATGCTAACAATTAGGCTACATACTGTGCTTATTCCCATAAGAGCTGATTCATTATGATGGTTTGTTCTGTCCAGGTGTCCCATCCTGTGTGAGCATGACAAGAGACAATAGCCTCAGTGTTAAGACCGGTTTAGTGATTTGATATGTAAGCTCTCGTACAGTCACAGGTGTGAAAAAAGGACAAAGATATCTGAGGATGCTCAGATGGAAATGTATTGTATTATTTGAGTTGATATAACTCAGCATAATTACTCATTACATAATGTGACGACCACTGCTTAGTTTTGTCTATTAAATAGGTAAAGCAGCTTCTTATGTGATAGACATCTTCTTGGTTTCTGATAGTGGTGGAACAAGTATTCAGTTCCTTGAAATACTAATACCTCACTGTGAAAATACTAAAATTCAAAAGTATTATCTGCTAAACTAGTATGAAAAGTACTCATTGTGCAGTAAAGATGTTCTGTGTCAGTGTTTTGCTATTATACTGATGTTTCTGGATTAATATAATTGCTACATTAAGGGGAGACACTACAGGCAAAAACATTGTTGAGATTTATGGTCTATTTTGGTTCCATAACATCTTTCAGACTAGTGGAAAGAAAACATCCAAAATACACATTTGTATTTTACCACTTTGTCTGTTTGCGTTTCTAGATTTCTCCTAAATTCACCAACAGTTAGCATTGGATAATGCCTCATTTCCATATTCAAACAGAACATTTCATAAAACTTGTAATACAAAAGAATATTGTTTTTTATATTCACTATTCGTCGTTTTAAGCTTCGCGGCGATGCATTTTTTTTTTTTGCTGATCCAGCAGGCTTTTAATTTAGTTTAATAAGTAGGAGAATTTTCTCAACCCATAAAGTAACACTTCATCCATCAGTTTATCAGAAACATTATAATTCAAAATCAACAAATTTGGAGATAAATGGTTTTCACTGGACAGTGAGGGTATGAAAAATTGTAATATGAAAAGTAACTACAGCTGTCAAATAAAAGTAGTGGAGTAAAAAGTACTATATGACCATCTGAGATGTAGTGGAGTAGAAGTATAAAGTTACATAAAATGGAAATAATAAAGTAAAGTACCTTGAATTTGTACTTATGTACTGTACTTGAGTAAACGTACTTCACTCCACCACTGGTTTCTGATGTGGTGATAATCCTCTTTATAAGAACACCTAGCTGCACAGTCAAGCATGATCGGCCCCGTCCGGCCTTATTAACTAATGACCTCATATGTCTTGCTGAACAGTAGCTGGCCTTTAACTTAAACCCTTCAATCATTCTAAAGTGACCACAGCTCTGTGCACACTTCCAGCAGCCACAAAGACCATGAAGTCAACGGACTTCACGGTGAAAAGAAAAGATCACGTAGAGGTTGTTTTCAGACCGGGAGTTACAGCAGCTGTTAAGGATTGTTAAAGGAGTTATTGTTCATCACGCTGTTAAAAAACACATTTTTGCTCAATGAAGTGAGTCATTTGTGACCCAGCAGACGCGAGAACCAACAGAATGCACCTAAATTACAACGTCACCAACCGCATAAGGGTGCGACCTAAACTTCTGCAATGTGGAATAATTCCATTTTGATTATACAAAAATGTATAATGTATAAAAAAGGAAGCTTTCCAGCCCGTGACAGATACACAAACCTGCATTTAATGTCCATTGTCCTTCAATTAGCACAGAGCAGAGGGACTCGACTGCAGTGAGAACGAAAGAAAGCAAGCATTGTAAATCTGTGAAGAGGAAATAAGATCTGAAGAAAATTGGCGCCATTGTCTGAGCTACGATCAGTACGTATAAAGTCAACATTTGAATTGCGCCCGTATTGTTTGAGTTCATGCAGGTTTACTCTATAAAACCGATTTGTTCCTTTAAAGATACGTTTGTCAAACCAACCACGAGTTCTTCTTGGAATGAGTGTATGTCAAGTTTCTCAACATATTTAAAGTTAAGGGTAGGCTAATGGTGCAGAGCAGTCAAACATTTATGAGTCCTTTTATCTCTGCATCCATAAAGGTTTGATCCCGGTATGAAATAGTGGATTTTGTGGGAACATTTCGGCGATGTCCTCTAATCCCAGAGTCAATGTTTGCCTTCTACGCGGCCTTTGCTCTCTCTAACGTTTTCTATTTAGACAATTTCAAGTGTGGGCTCAAGATTTCCTCAAGTGGGAATAAATGTTGTCTTTTGCAACCTTGGGAAATTGTTATAAACCCATGCTTGCAAATCAGATTTTAGATTTCAACAAATGCAAACTATGCTGAGTGAAATTGAAATCATGCAACCTCTCAAACTTGTTAAGTTTGGAAGCATTACTCTTCACAAAAACTCAAAAGACAAATGTCAGTAGCTGCAGAAACAGCTGCTAAAATCACTCAAAACTATATTTCTTTGTTATCACTAATAATCTCTACCGTCGGTACAAACACAGCTGTAACATTTGCAGCCTAAAGGCAGCACAGATGACCACTGAAGCTGCCAAGGTGTCTGATTTCATTGTTTGGTTCCCAACATCCGTCATTTCCCGCATCCTATACAGACAACCACAGTCCTGTATTTATGCCAGTGGAGGTGTACACAAACACATGCACGCAGACACACACACACACAAATGCATGCCCATTCATTTACATTGTCCACAGTGCCGCAACCCATTTGCGTCTGTTGTGTATACATGACATGCTAATGACCGTCCTAGGACGAGACACATGCTTCATCTGGCGAAGGTCAATCTCTCTTAATGGCCCCAATTATGTCCAATTCCTTATTTCAGAAGTGTCCAATCAAAGCGTCCAAATTTGATTCACAGACATCTTAAAAAAACGTGTAACGTGTTCTTATCCCACGTATAAATATTTTACAGACCCAGTTACACACAAACCCTAAACTTTGGAATGAGGTTGGGCGATATGACGACTTATTAAATACCAATAACCACATACTGGCATGTGGTTATTTTATAAATTAACGGTTTCTTGATTGAATTTCCATAAAAATCCCTATATCACCTCACGTGAATTTAATATACAGCATTGAAGATTGTATACACATCGCCATTGGTGGAAAGTGACAGAGTACATTTCCTCATGTACAAGTGTGAGGTACATTATTTAAAGTTACTACAAGGAACTTTTTAACTGGTTGAAACCGTCTCAATTCTATATAGTTATTCTGTATGCCTGTCTTCAGTTCCGATTCTCTGCGAAATCAGGCAAAGCGATTCACGGCATGCAGGTTCTCCAAAAACTCCTTCAGCTAAGACTCTAACAGGGACAGCCCAACGCAGACAGACCCACATCTGGCTTCACAGCCGCCTTCCCCCAATAACTGGAGCTCCGGCAGGAGGAGGAGAGCTCAGCGCTCAGCAGCAGCGGCTCCCTCCCCGCTGGGGGCCAACACCAACACCACGCTGCTGAAGGCCCAGGCTGAACCGCTGGAGGGAAGGGAGGCACCGCAGAACCAGAACCAGGACTATGGGTGGCAGACTGTCAGACCCTGCTACTGTAAAAGGTTAAGACTTTATCTGCTGCTTGGAGACCCCAAAATCAACACAAAATGAATGTTCCTCGTAGCAGCTTTAAGTGTTTCCACTTTATATTGTGTCATACTACTCCACTTTTCATTGAAATAAGTGGGATGGACAAGATATTAGAAAAGCCTCTGAGTATAATGCGAAACAATTCAACAACATCACAAACTCCAGCTTCTGGAATGACCATCAAATTCATTCAACACCTCAACAAGTGACCATTATAACCTTCATGTCGGTAGGGTTTATTGCAGGACCGTTGTATTAGACTGTACTAGTTTTAGCGACAGTAACTGTGCCTAATAAACTGGCTGCTGAGTGAATGATCAGATATGATACATTTTAAAGCTTAAACTACCCAAAATAAATTCAAATTAGCTCTACCTCATTCAGTTACAACATTAAAATGCTCATACATAATAACCATAGACTTATAAGAAGTGGACGTAGCCAACGTGACGTCATCCTGTGGTTTGTGGACCGCCGCTCTGAAGCCTAGAGTTTGTCGCTTTCTTGGTTTTTGGACATCACAAGTGACTCAAGGTGGACTCTTAGTATCTCCTAATGAGACATTTTTAGGCAACCAATTAATTCTCACCAACTGAAAACAAACTGTGCAAGGGTTAAAGTTCTAAGACGAAAACATGGACAACTCCCAGACCGGACAACGCTGTGGTAGCGACCTGTCAATCACCGTGTAGCCCTGCCCTAAAGCATACTCTGCTTTATGGTCTGTTTGACTCTAAATGGATCATAATTTACTAAATGAACATCATGCTGTATTGAAGAAGACTTGAAACTAGAGATTGAGACCATAAACTCATGTTTACAATGTTTACTGAGGGAATAAATCAAGAGAGAAGTAGAGTCATTTTCTCATAGACTTCTATACAACCAGAGGAGTCGCCCCCTGCTGGACATGAGAGAGAATGCAGGTTTAAGGCACTTCAGTGTTGGTATAACTTTTCAAACCCGGGGAGGTTGCAGCCAATAATATAATATAATATAATACAATATAATCTGAAAAGAGTTTTACTTTTACTGTATAAATACAGGACTTTTACTGTATAAATGCAGGACTTTTATTTGCTGCATCATTGATCATTTTAATAAACTAGAGGATCTACGTACTTCTTCCAAAGCTGCTATCAACCATCTTTACCTTGGAAGTGTGAATTCTGCACTCTACTCACTGACTAATGACAATCTAATGTTACCTCGACTTAAGTCACCGCAAAACGTTTATAAAAAAATATGCTAACCTAAATCGTATTTAGAGATAAAATAACCCTTTGGGGTGTACTCCAGATAAGCCCTGCATAGACAAGACTTGTTAGGACTCACTGATCTTGCAGAGCCAGCTGACCAGGATCCAAAGGGCCACCAGGTAGGGGGTGGAGACATGGTGCCACTTCCAGCTCACAATAGGCAAAGTGGTTATGGGCCCCCCTTCATCACCACCTTCTCCGGCAGCACTTTCATGATCACTGTCACCATGTCCACTGTCAGTTCTGGAGTTTGTGGCGGTCCCTTGATCGTCGTGTCCTCTGTCCACAGAGCCAGGGTCAGTGTCGTGTCCTGTCTCCTCACTGGCCACGCTGGGGGCTCTGGACGCCATCAGCAACATGCAGAGGCAAAGAGCAAATCGCCTTGTAGCTGCCATGTTTGGGGAGAGTCACGACACAAACTCTTGATGCAAAAAGTTATTTAGACTGTTGACTCAAGTGCTCAGGTCCACCTCAGACAATGAGTCTTTCATTCCTCTCCTGCGTCCCCTCCTTCCCTGTCAGGTCACTTTTACTTTGTTCTTACTGAGGTCCACATCTTCACCTGGCCTGAGCATTGTGGCCCCGGTCTCTCCTCTCTGCTAAGGACACAGCTATTTACAGCAGGTGAAGCTCAGCCCATTCTGATGCTCGTCTGTCTCCTCCCACTCTGTATCCTGACCAGCTAGTTTGGCTACTTTGCTCAATGGATGATTTATTTAATGCTGTCATCCTGACTTGGCTATTATTATATTTGGGTGTTAAAGCTTCGTAAGCAAGTTTTCACTGATGTTAAACTTCCAGATTTATTGCGAGGTATCCTAATTTTAGAAACTATTTCTTGTTTGAACACATTTTAAGTCCTTAAACAAACAAACGACTTAATAAGAGCTTGGATTTGAAAAATACTTTTTTAAATCCCACATCTTATTTTCTTAGTCTTGGTTTTGATTTTCCAGATTAAAGGGGAACCCCACCAATTTCACATATCAAACTCAGTTTACTAGTCATGGGGAGCACTAGTCAGTATTAACAAATACTTGATTGGTTGATCGACAAAATAAAGCTATTATTTTTGATAAGCTTCTCAGTTTCTCAGTTCTGAAGATTTGCTGCTTTTTCTTGTCTTCTGTGAATATCTTTAGATTTTTAATTTATTCTAAAAACAAGCCATTTGAAGACCACACCTTGGGCTTCAATAATTTGGGCGTTTTTCTGTACTTTCTGTCATTTTATAAACCAGACAATTAATCAGTTAATGGAGAAACTACTTGGCGGATTAATCAATAACGAAAATAAACATTTGTTGCAGCCTACGTGTCTGAAAACACAAACCTACCATACCAGTGAGATAGTGACCCATCAAGTGATGCTATTGGTTGCATTCTGGGAAATGTAGGAACCAGCATTTTTGGATCTTACCCCATATTAGGTACTAAAAGTCAGGATATCTCAGCCTTTTGCTGTATTGATTTTGAACTTTCATTGAGAGATGTGGGTGTATGACCAGACTGCTTCACACATTACATTACCTTGTAATGGAGTCCAATGGGGTCAGCAACACAAGCACGTTTACCCATATTATCTAAACCAGCGGGCCATGGCATCAAATGTAGGTCACAACAAAATGATAAAATGGAAAGAAGAAAAAAATAAAAATAAATACACAAAATAATGCATTTTTTTGTGGTTTTGTCCAAATATTTCCCTTTTTCTTTTTGAGAAATGATTGAGACACAGTATGATATTTCACATCAACCAGGATTTTGTGAAATATGAAATATCATACTGTGTCTCATTGGCACCTTGCTGGCTAAATAAAGAATAGAAAAATGAAGACAAACTGGCGCCGCCTACAGACCTTTCTATCCCTCACTGTATCCTTGCCTGTGTGACTATCGCTGTGCGTGTGTTCCTCGGAGTTTGACATAAATGTGTATTCAGTAAGAATCAAATGACATGAGGACAGGAAGGCAGCGTGACTCGTTTGTCTCCCTTATTCGAAAGGAGCACCTGCACCCCAAACATCCCCTCCTCTTGGCCACACTGCACAACACTGACTGTGTTGAGCCTTCATCGCCACTATACATGTGTGTTTAGGTGACAGAGGCTTGTAAATGAACCTTAGTTTGGACAAGCCGTTTCTTTTCTCATGAGTTGTTAATCAAGGTTTTCCTCCCTGCTGGGCACAATCCCTTTAGTTCAAATTTAAACAGCCCAATCGGTTCCTGATCTCCTTGGAGGGATTCGGGATAAGTAGATTAGTAAATGTTCAATCAGGGCCTTTCCAGAAATCAAGTATTGAACGGAGATCCCAAAAAACAAATATAGATAAAAAAGAGTGTTTAAATAAATCCTGTTTCCTGTTTCTTGTCTCATTGGCAAAGAGAGCTAGGGATGTTTAATGAGGAAATTAGATGTTTTATGTATTCAGTTTGACATACTTCCTGGATCGATAAGACAAGTCAAACTTATGTATCTGGGTCTCGAGTGCTGTCGATAACAAGAAAATAGCTAAACTGCTCAAAGTTGTACTGCATTGCATTGATAAGAAATTCTTAAAAATAAGAGGCAAACAATCAGGAAAGATTGACGTATTCTTTTCATTGATTTGCACCAACATCTTCCTCCTAATCCTGTGACCTAACTTTTCACTACATTTCCTCAAAATCTGTAAACAAGTGTTTGATGTATATCAATGACAAGGAAACACAAAGCAGAACTAACATTTAAGGAAATCTAAGAACAACAAAGAGGCACACAAAAAGGGCCAGAAATATTAATAGTCTCTCTCCCACCCCGATACGATTAGCTGCCTTAAAGGAGACATCCAAACTCTTCTTCACACATCAAACCACAGCGAATCAAACCTCAAAGAAAGCTGCTCCTTCCCTTTCCGTGTCCCGGAGAAGAACACCAGCATGGACTTCAGGGGAGCTGTTTGCACGGCAGCTCTGTTGACATTTTATGAGTAAACTGGCTACATTGGTTGCTGCCGTGGCTAAGCAGAGATCTGACACCTGTGTCTAAGGTCAGTGGCAATCAGAGAGTCACTGTAGGGGCAGCGCTCAACAAAGAAGTGGCTGTGGTTGTGACTTGACCTTTGTCAACGATCAAATGAAATAAAAAAAATAGACAATGTCACTCTCTCATCATCTTGAGCACTGACTTGCATTTTAAGTGACGGGAAATTTACAGTAGAGAATGCTGAGTGACAGAGATGAAGAATCATCAGCGCGTCACAAAGAAAAACTAAATATCCTCATTCTTGTGATCGTGAACATTTACAAGTTTTCAGTGTAATTATTTGGATAAGTTCTTGTCCCAGACAATCCCTCATTGATTGATCTGACAGGCTTGTGTCTGTCAATGAATGCCTAGTGGGAGTTATTTCTTTTGTCACACAAAATCATCCTCACAAACACTCCACATAAGATTTGTATTCCCTTTAGTTTCTGTCTTGACGAAGTCAAACCAGATGAAGACAAATGTGGGTCTACAACAAATCACAATGACAGGGATTATTTCTATCCGACCGATATTTCTTCATAGTTTCCACATAGATGACCCAATTGCCTGAAACTCGGCTAAACAAACACAACTGTATTTTTCCCACTACTGAATGTAGCTGTTAAAGTAAAGTCCCTGCATGTCCATCTGCCTCCCAGTCTGTTTATGGTGTCAAATTGCAGAGGAGAGGATGCTAAACAGGAGCAGTGAAACCTGCATGGACATCAGTGGAATAAGTTTACGGTTGAAGTATAAGTGACAGAAATGTTGAACCAACAGAAGATCACTGAGGTGACCTTCTATCTGTGCACTTTTACTGAATATACTGTGAGTTTATTATAACTGAAGAACAGGTGATACTCTACAATATAAACGTCAACAAAACTAGTGTACTTTCCACACAGTGTCATATCAACACTTGAATGCAGCGTCACACACGATAAAACGACCACAATAAAGACAACTCATAAATTATTCAACTGATTGACTCTGGAGAAAACACGCGTCACCTCCAACTGGGTGTTTCAGGGAGACATTTTGAATATCACAAGATTATTCACTCACCTCGGGAATTTCAACTCAGCGTCAGTTCATTCGTGACGTCGTCTGCCATCTTCACACGGTCGATGGTCCTGAGGAAAACCTCGGTCTGACACGTGATGCTGTTCAATGAGATAAGAAAGCAAATAGAGGAGATTAGAAAAAGTGAATTCCCTCACATGAGCCTGCAGATTGAAACACCTGAGTTCACACTTTAAATTTTATTTTACAGACTTTACATGGTGATACGTATATCATCAACATCTTTTCACTTAGATGTATTTGTTCGTTTAAAAAATGTGGTTCAGAGGTCATTGTGGAAATTCATACAACTTATTATATTATAATTCCAAATTCTAGGGCAGCAATTCATTATTTTTCTCCAGAAAAATATGATTGACTTGATAACCTGTAGGATTATTAAAATGTTTCTATTGCACATTTAATATATTTCAGAAGGTCACAATCAAAATTACAACAGAGCCCACAGAGCTCAAAGAACATATCTACATATTTTTAGGGCTTTTTGCCAAATTCTTGTGAGTCTTTGTGGTTGTAAGAGCATTACGGAGACAGTTCTTCCTAAAATCTAGAATGTTTTGGTGTGAATTGGCGTCCATCTTTCAAATATAATGGGGCTATGTGGCCCTCGGCTTGTGGTGCTCAAAGCGCCGAAAAAAAATCCATAATTCATGACTCGGTTACTGAAAATAATCCAGAGAATTTGTTGTGAGCAGTTGAAAGAAAATAGTTCCTACATGAAACTGCTCACAAGGTCTAAAAAAATGTTTTTTGGGGGGGAGAACTGTCCCTTTAAAGTCCAAGTCCAGGCACTCTGTAGAGCAGAACTTGGCCCATGGCCAGCGTGTTGCAGATAATCTGACGGCCACTAGAGACTCCCAAAATCACATCACGTATTGCAGTATACTGTTCTTGCAACATCTCTTCTACTCATTACTGTTTATTGTATTCTGTGTTCACAACAGTACACAGAGCACTGCGGCTCATGGCAGAGTTCCTACAGAAGTCTGTAAATTGATAGGACACGAGTGTGAAGGCCTTTTTCCACAGAAGGCATTACTTGTAAAACCTACATTTGACATCACAGTAGGAAAAGCACAGCTGTAAATGATAAAATGTATGATGGCTGGATTCCATTTAGCTGCTACAGTTTCAGGGTCCTGGTATTGTGCGCGCTGTTATCCGTTACTACACTGTTGAATAGATCAGAGTCACAGTGCTTTGTCTGTAGAAGGCTTTATTTTATAGGACTCCTCAGGAAACCAGTAGCTTGACATGACAGCAAAATGACAAACTGTGTGAAACATTTTGACAAGTTTAAATTTGACCAATTATGTCATAACATTGACTTGGTGTCATACTTTTGACATAGAAAATAAAAAAATGACATACTATATCATAACGTCAGTATTTTTTCTATCATTACTAATTTTTCATTTTTGGAATTAAGCTTTCATGTGTTTGATTTACAGCCTATATAATATTGTATATATATATATATATATATATATATAAGCAACATTTTACACGAGTGATGTACAAAGGTATTTGCATCAAAATATATGTAAGTACAAAAGGCAAAAGTACTCATGCAGAATGACCCATTTCAGAATCATGTAGCCTATGATATATATTACTGAATTATAATTATGAATGCATTAATGTGCACATCATTTCAATGTTGAAGCTGGTAAAAGTGAGGCTTATGTTTGACTATATATAGGTTACTGCCTGATAGCTCGTGAATTTTACCTATATATTTTATCTATAATATATACTTGTACTTGAGTAAATGTACTAAGTTACGACTCTTTGCAGTGGGGCAGCTGTACTACGTGAGGTTAAAGTACTATTACCACATTGTAAAAACAAGTAAAATGTACTTAAAGTAAGATAAGTAAATATCATCATATTTTATAAACTCTTCATATGTTTGGACTGTAAAAAAGTAACTAGCGATGAAGCTCTTGAATAAATAAAAAATAAGTAAAAAGTACAACACTTCCCTCTGAATTGTAACGTTAGTGGAGAAAAGTTAGAAGTAGAATGAAGTTAAACGACTCAAGTAAAGTACAAGTACCTGTAATCTGTCCTCAGGTAGCGTTACAGTAACGTGTTTGAGTACTTATGGTTAGTTGTTTCCACCACTGACTTTGTTGATGTGCTAGCTTAGCTTACCTGTTGACCCCTTCATTAAGCTAACAGCCTGATCACCGGGGCACGCGCGTCGCGGCTGGCTCGCGCGCTGCTCACATGACGTTTCCCAGCATTCTGCGGGCGCCCTCACGGAAACATCAAGGAAGAGGATGCGGGTCGAGTAACTCCATGGTTGGTAAGAGAAGTCTTTTTAACTAAAACATGTCACATATGTAGCTCCACGTCCGTCGTGTTTCGCCCATTTAAAGCGTGTTGTCGTGACGGCGGATGTCAGAGACGAATGCGAAACAATGTCGCTGTATTTTAACGTTTTTACACGCGTGTAAGAAACTGTAAGCAACAGGGTGATCGACTGTTTGCAGTCCTCCAACTTCGGGTGGTGGGTAAAGTTGTCACCGCCCGTTGTCCGGTAACCACAACAGTGAGAACGAGTATGTGAGTGACGATTGTGTGGAGGAATGGAGACATGTTGAAAACCTACCAAACCTACGAAGATGCGTTTTTAACATTATGGGAAGCTGATCTCTGCGGGAAAGTGATATCAATGTTGGTGACAGAGGCGAGCTTGTTGACAGGTTTACGTTAGTATCAGCTGTTTTTGGTTTGAAGAGACTACTGGAGGACAACCGGGGCTTTTCATTTGATAGATTCAGCAGGGGGAGTTCTGCTGGACAGAAACTGAAAACACAGAAACTGAATAAGTAGAAATGAAACTAGGCTATTCTAAATCCTTGATCTTTTTTTTTTTTGCATAATTACTTTTGACTTAATTTCATGCTTTCGACCATTGGGTTTTGCTTATAATCTAACTCCGACTAAAATATATAATACCTTCATGTATGAGATAATAAACAGTATTCTGGCCTAGAACGGTGTCAGTCTAACATCAGACATGCACATTCATATCTCATTCGTTCACCTTACACAGTTCTCGATTCAATGTAACATGAGAAAGAACGTTAAATGCCTCGGTACCCTACGTCTCATGCAGGTTGCTCAAAAGGCATAGGACCAGCATCATAAACCTAAACCTCTGCCCATTAAGACACTGGCTGCTGGACAGAAATACACAAACCCGACCAAGCATGTGTCAGAAGTGTGATAAAGCCCACAGTGTTCATGAACAGCGGCCTGATTTCAGTTTTTGGCTCGGTGCTGCTGTTGACACTAAAGAGATTTCCATTCTTTTAAGAGTATTTAAAGCTGCGAAGCACAAAGGTTCTGGTGTCTGCTGTCAAATTCAATATATACCTCCTCCAATGCTTTAAAAACAAAAAGACAACCTGCAGTGACGGGTAGATCAGGTAGAACGCGTGTTGATTTTCATGGTGGTATGTGCACTGCATGCAAATCCTAAAAAGTACAAATGATGTGTTCAATTATCTGACAACAGATATGCACGTTTGAGTAAGACATCCGCTCGTTGCGTCTTGTGTCCATGTCTTTGTGTTATTATTCAGATAAAGACGGCTAGAGGCGATGCTCCATCTGGGCTTCTGTTGTGCTTAAAATCCTCTCCACTGCTTGATGCCTTCACCACCAGCTAGTCTAGTCCTGGCTTCGTTTGAAAGAACCGTCCCCAGGCTGTAGTGGAACTTCAACCCCCGACCGAGCAGATAACGAGACTATAATCACTGAGCAATGAGTGTTGCTGCAGGAGATGAGGTCATTGAGATCACCCTTTGATGTGATGGTCCCTTCTCTTCCAGACATGCATCACATGTCCGCTGAGTCGAGAGCTGCAGACGCTGATATGAAGGAGGTTAAATAAGGGTTGTTTTGTCTCTCTTCTCTCCCCCCCGCCCCCCCCCCCCCCCCCCGCACCGCACCCCTTGCTCTACTGAAGATCGGAAGAGCAATT